GTTTCCTGTCAAAATTGGTTTGTGGGTACATCTGTTTACTATGAAGAAAGCGCCGTCTTGAAAACTGTCTACCAGTTGTCAATTTTGCAGGGCAGCAGCCCAAATTTCACTACTTCAAGTTTATGCATAAATTAACACCCAGGCTAGTTGTCTGTACGATTGTTGTAACACTGTTCAACCAAAAACAATGCCCCAACGGCGTTTTGAAGATAAACACATTGTCAATTATTTGTGAAAATTTCAAAACAAAAGGTCAAAGCGTCTCGGAGCTCTTTTTTTAAAGTTCTGGGATGTGCACTAAAAGAAGCTGAGATAATTGCTAATTTGCATAACAATTCACTCAGTAAGAAGTTTGTTAATGCTCATAATTAAAATGGCTGTAACAGTTTCAAATTTAAATGTATTATCGTTTTGTTAAAAATTAAATATAGTGCATAATATGGAGATCCTGTCATTTCTTTTTTTCACCTTATTTCTTTTTTATTATTTATGTACAGACTTGCTAAATCTTGCTAGCATTCAAAAGAGAGAATGTTTGCACCTGTTATCTATATTTTAAAATCGTTCCACTATTCACAATTCTACCAAATTTTAACAGTCTATAGCCAAGACTGTTTGGATAATAAAAAGCAAAACAAAAAATCACTCCCAAGTGCCCACAAACATGCATCTCTACCTTAACAAAATAAACACTACTAGATAATTGTTAAGAAGTAACAGTAAATAAAGTCTGAACCTACTATTTCCAAGCTGTGCTAGAAATGGGAAAACAAATAAAAGGTAATAAGAAAAATGTGTGGTAAAGAATAAAAAACTGTAAAATTACATTAAAAACCATTCTTTACTATGTTTCTCAGTATCGCCTGGCCTGTAACATAAAAGGGAGGGATATTACATCACGTTTGTCACAAAGGACAGTATCACATGTTGCAAAAATGTGATGCAACTTTTAAGGGCGACCAGTAAATTTTTCTGGGGTGATAACATTTTAATTTAGATGGCAAACGGTTTATGGCTATGACAGTTAGTTTAATAATAAAATTAATATTGTATTTGAGAGAGCAATATTGAAGTAAATAAAGATTAGTCACAGTAACGAATGATTTATATGACGTGGCGTGGAGATAACAACCAATCAATGTTAAAATGTCAACCTGAAAATTAAACAAAATATTTATGCATACAAGCGTTTTTTTTGGACACACTATCTGGACTTGCCCATTTGATTGTCTGAATCACTGTGAATGCCGCTGACATTCTGAACAAAAAATAAGGAGTTGAACAATAGAAATGTTGAAAATCAGAAAGGCAATTACAATTACTTTGTTCTTAAGTTTTGAGCTGGATTTTTTCACGATGGTGTACCTGTAATATTGGCTTTCGCTCTATTAAAGGATTTTTTTTTTAAACGCTGTTTATGACATTTTCTCTGTATATTCTCTGTAAAATCCCTGATAAAATAAATACCACAGCGCACATCGCGCATCAAAATGTTCAAAAGGGTGTCACGTGAAACATTATGTCGATTATTTCTGCCTAATACCTGGTAGCGGCCATTTGTCACACTTTCTACTGGTTGGTTAAATGCGTCTGTGCAACAAAATGATTTTAACACTATTTATATGTCACAATTAACAAATAGAGAATACCCGTGTTTACATTGATATAACCCAGAACACTCAAAAGTATAAAAGTTTTTAAATAATATCAATATCGTCCAACTATAAAAAGAATATTCTTGCAATTGCTAAAGCTGTGCATGATTTGGAGCTTGAAGAAGACCCTTATTTTTTACGCCTTGATCCTAAAAAATGACGTGACTTCAAGGCTTAGCAAGGATGCAATTTCACCGTTCCTTTGAAATTACCGGGCTACTCCAGTGATTTCAGGAATGTTCTAGAATTCGGCTTGTCCAATGTTTTAATGTGTTATCGG